ATCGTGAGGAAATGTCTAAAATAGCAGGAGAAATTTGGGTTAATGGTAGGAATAACTTCCTAGCTTTGTCAAAATAGGGAAAAATTTTCATTCTTGGACATGACGTTGGTTAATTTGGTTTTTTATATCTTGGTCATTTTGTTTGTTTGAGATGCAGAGTAGACCGAGGATGTGTCAGGCTTCCTCTCCGGGTCACTTACTCTCAGGGAATTCTGTAATTTCCCTCTAGTTAATTGAACTTGAAGAGGAACCAGAACACAGTCTGGTCGAATGCCTCTGTCTCCTCTGGTGAAGCGATTTTGTGCCTGCACAGTACCCCACCTTCCCCCCTCCTCACCTGCCCAGAGTCCCTTTGGGATCCATCGGCCTGAGGCAGCTGTTATCTGGCCTTAGTAAGCCCAGTAACCCTGCTTTCTTGCTCTAGCGGTGTGCTGTGTTTCAAAGAAAGGTGCTGAGCACGGTACTGCTCCCCCTGCAGATGGAGATGGTAAGTGAGCCTGTTGCATGGCCCTTAGAGGTCTGTCTTTAGGCTAATAAATATTGTCCCTTCTGTAACCAGGTCAGTTCCCATAGAAACTGTTTCTCTCACAGTCGTGTGGGTGAGATGTTGTGTATCTGGCTTTCATCTGTGCTGGCCCTCTTGCTGTATTCCTCCAGCATACTCCCACCTCAGGGCCTTTGCACTTGCTGTTTCTTCTGTCTAGAATGGTTTTTCTCCCACTGAATACATAGCCTGTCTCCTTGCTTCATTCAGATCTCTGCTCAGATGTCATCTCCAAGAGGTCTTCCATGACCAACTTGTCAAAAATAGCAACCCCAACCACCCTGTATTCTTCCTCTGCTCTATTTTTCTTCATGGCACTTATCACTACCTGACATTATGTTTTATTTGTATATTCATTTATTGTTTGTTTCCCTCACTAGAATGTAAACTCCAATCAGGGAAGGGACTTTGTCCTGTTCCTCTTATGCCCCAGTAATTAAGGCAGTCCCTGCTACAGCAGGTCCACAAATGTTTCTTCAGCAATAAAAGATCCTTGGCATTTGCAGCTTTTTAAGTAACTGTCCAGAAAATCCCTTGTTCCCACTATTTCCCACTGTACAGCTGGATGCCTCGCTAGATCTGCCATGGGCAGGGGCCTCCACACCCTTTTGTGAGGCTGGGGGCTGTCCTGGTGCTCTCAACCACGTCAGCCCAGGGTGCTCAACTGTTCTTTACTTCGTGGGCTTCTGTCAGAACAGGATAGTCTTCTCTGTTCTGGAAGAGTGGAGCTTAACATTCTGCTCTCTGCTTGCAGATGAAGAGATGATGGCCACAGAGGTGACCCCCTCGGCCATGGCAGAGCTCACGGACCTGGGCAAATGTCTGATGAAGCATGAGGTGGGTGGAGGGGGCAGGTGATGGTTTTCTGCTTTCCTGGCTGTGGAGTCAGCTTCTACTTTTCTCACTGTGATGCCATCAAAAAAGTTTTTTGGGTAATACTCCTTTATATGAGTTAAGTCCCTGTTCCTAAAGCCCCCAGAAGACGGGGAAAGTGCGAGGCCCCAGGGTCTCCCGTGCACCGTGGGCAGAGGCTCTCAGGAAACGCACGGCACACTGATGCCAGTCCCTGGTGTGCAGCTGCCCCTGGCCTGAGCTCCATCTCCTTCCTGCACGTAGGTTTTCTCTCTATATTGGTTTTCTCTTCTTTTTGACTGCCTGATATACATAAAGAGAGGAAATATTTTCCTGCTTACCTATTAAAACTCCTAATGCGTAAGAATACTGAGAGAACATTGCGCTTGTTTTCTCATTGTAATCCTTCACCCTTTTCCGTTAGGATGTTTGTACGGCGCTATTAATTACAGCCTTCAATTCCCTGGCCTGGAAGGATACTCTGTCCTGCCAGAGGACGACCACACAGCTGTGCTGGCCTCTCCTCAAACAAGTATGGTTAATCACCCCTTCTCCTCACCCCTTATGAAAGCTCTGGGTCATGAGGATTGACTGAATCAGTTGCAAGAACTGGGGTGCTGGGCCCTTCAGAGAGTCCCCTTTGGCCCTGAGCACAGCTGTCTCCCCAGGTGCTGTCAGGGACACTGCTGGCAGATGCCGTTACGTGGCTTTTCACCAGCGTGCTGAAGGGCTTACAGACTCACGGGCAGCACGACGGCTGCATGGCTTCCCTGGTCCATCTGGCCTTCCAGATATACGAGGCGCTGGTGAGTGTAGAAAGCAAGGGGGCAGGGTGGTTGCAGCTTCACCAGCAGAGCCTGTGCCCAATCGGTTGGGCCTTCTCCTAAATGTAGGCTGTTGCCAAGTTGCTAGCGCTGCCCCTGCCAGGTGGGTGTGGCAGGGAATGGGGAAGGTGGCAGCGCCCAAACCTACAACGTTGACTGGGTTTATCACCACTTCTCAGCGTCCCAGGTACCTGGAGATAAGAGCTGTAATGGAGCAGATCCCTGAAATACAGAAGGACTCTCTGGACCAGTTTGACTGCAAGCTTTTGAACCCCTCTCTGCAGAAAGTGGCTGACAAGCGCCGGAAGGACCAATTCAAACGCCTCATTGCTGGCTGCATCGGGGTAGGTCGCGCACCTTCCTTAGTGCTCCCAGCCACCCTTGCAGTCTTCTTAGACCGTGTGTATGGGCACGCCAGAACCGGCTGTGTGGCTGACCATCGTGGTGAGATGATCTTTACAACAACCAGGGCCCTGCATTAGTTCTTTCTCATTTGTTTTCCACAGAAACCCTTGGGAGAGCAGTTCCGAAAGGAAGTTCACATTAAGAATCTTCCCTCACTTTTCAAAAAAACAAAGCCAATGCTGGAGACGGAGGTGCTGGACAACGAGGAGGGCGGCCTGGCCACCATCTTTGAACCCTGAATCAAGCTTTTGGGCATCCTTCCTCAGCCTTTATTGTCATCTCTTCTTCCCCTTCGTAGCTAATGTCTAGGCCCCTCTCCACTGCCGCCTCACTTTACACCGTTGTCAGCCTGGAGAGAGCTCCAGGTCTGGAGCTGGAGAGAGTGGGCCCTGTGCAGGGCCAGAAGTAACTATACTCAAGTATCAAGAAAGGGAGTCAGGGCTTAGACCATTCTGTCTAGATCTCCCAGGTATCTCTCATTCTACTGGGAGTTTTGGCTTTTCCTAGATAGAAAAGCTAGAGCAGAGTGGCCCCTCTCCCCAAGCCCTCCCGCCCCCACATAGCCATACAGCTCTGCAGTGCTAACTAGGGCTGCCGTCCCTGACACCGCGACTAGCCGGGCTCGCGGAGAGGGCTCGGCCCTGACCTGCTTGTGCCAGAGTTTCTCCTGGACCACTGCAAGGCCCACTGAGGCCCCTTGCTGCTGGGTTGGCAGGGAACCTTCCCCATCCCCCAGGGGCATGTCTGGGTCAGGCGCCGAGTGCTGAACTGAATTTGGCCAGTTCCCTCTTCTTTTGAGCAAGGATCTGGTTACCTGATGGAATCCCTGATACAGGCTACTGGTAAGCTCTGGACACAGTTTCAAGTGTAGTATCTTCAGGGACCGGGGCTGGGCCAGGGTCTATAGTGCTAACGTCCCCCTTAGATCTCACGTATCTTGCCCTTCCGTGAATGACCCCTCAGTGTGGTTTTCCCAGCTCCAGAGTCCACTCAGGCACAAGAGCCACAGTACCCTATCTAGTGTCACATGATGCCATTGCCATGAGGATAATGCAGGCCAACTAGGCTACATCTGTGACAAGCAGCTAGCAAAGCCACTTGGTCTCCTCTCCTTGGACTAGCTGAGTCCAGGTGCCTTCAAAATTCCCATGTTCTTTCAGGTCCCTGGTCACTTCTCTCATGGGCCATTTCCAAAAGAAAAGAATATGCCTTCCCATCGACCTGTGAGTCTCCAGGCTGTTCTAGAGGTCACTGGACAAGGCCGTGAGCAGAGGGGACATGGATGTGGGACCCCCTAGCCTTGAGATCATTGCTGGCCATAGACAGGCTTAATCTATACAGACACCGTGTAGTGTGTCCATGAGTTGGGCACAATGACAGAGGCCTGTCATTGAAAAGGGTTTCTGTGAAGACTGAGTGGAGCAGCGTGGACCGAAGCTAGAGCTGTGAGCTGGTGTAGGCTCCCAGGCAGGTAGGGTTGGGAAGAGGCGAAGCTGGGGAAACAGGGCTTGGAGTCCTGTCTGTCTGTTCTGCGCCACAGACTCGCCCCACACCCTTTTTCTGGGTGGTGCTCTGGGCTTCTTCCTCTTGACTGTGAAGGCCATCTCAACGCATGTTTCCCTCCAGGCTTGATGCTGCCTACTCCTCTCTGGTTGGGGCTGTGGAGGGCATAGTTGTATTTATTGTGTTGTAATATTTTTAACATCCTGTGACTTCATGCTAGAAGTTTTCTATTGTTTATAGAACCTTTTGTAGAAACATTAACTCTAAAGCACATCTGCATGTCAGTAAAAATCTCAATTTCCTACAGAAAGGGCGCCATCTGCCTTTTTCAAACCAGTGACGTGCTCTAGGGTCACTCTTCCTCATGGGCATCCTGCTAAGGGTACTGGACAGGAAGAAGTGTGACTGATGGAGGTAGTATGCCAGCTAGAAAAAGATTTCCATCCCTGACACACCTAGACCAGGCAGCCCGGACCATTCTCACTGTGTGGTGGTTGGTGCCCTCTGGACCTGACCCTCAGGGACTGTTCAAAGGGAACTGCTGTTGCTCTTCATGTGGCCCCTGACAGCAATGTCACTTGACTACTACAAACCACCCTTTTTCTACCCAGGAACTTCCTCTGGTAATCCAGGAGGTAGTGGATTGTAGTGGCACAATGTTTTTCTAGGTTGTGACTGTGCCCGCCCCCCCAAAGAACCACCTCAATTTGGCATTTCTTGTGAGGCTTCAGAGGGACTTAGCCCTGACCTGCAGTGACTTTTGAGCCAGTGTTCCTAACTGCTAAATGAGGCCAATGATGCCAAACCTGTTCTGAGGTGAGGCCCCATTTTTGGCCAAAACTCAAGAAGTGGTCTCTGACCAAAAAAAAAGGTTTTTTGTTTGAGTGTGAATTTATTTACATTAAGGCCTTACAAAGGCATAAAAGTCACATTTTATGGCACATTTAACAAAATGTATTGACTGAAGATGAAGTGGTGATTGTCCCAGAAAACCGAAGACCCCTGGTTACACTGGGCTCTCCACAGCACTCCTGTGGGGGCAGGCCAGAATCCCAAATCTTCCATTTGCCTCAGGAGCAAGCATCCGAGGCCAGCCATGCCAGTAAGTCTGTGGAAACTTCAGTCCATCTGAACCGCCTCTAGCTCATCCAAGAACCGCCGGCACTTCCCCATCAGTACCTTGATGGCTTCACTCACCAGCACATCTGGTGGCAACACCCCTGTTGACTCGACAGAGACTGGGGACCAACGAGAGACTTTAGCCCAGGCAGGGCTTGCAAGAGCTCCTGTGTAAGTTATTGCTAGATTCCACATCTGGACCTGCCCCCCTCCGCCCAACTTGATACTCACAGATATAATGGTCCCGAACCCGAGCCAGCCGTACAACCTTCTTTAGCTTCTCATGCCGGAAGACTTCCCTGCTAAAGGTATCTAGCCGGGGATTGGCAACTCTGGCCACCTTTTTACCTAATGAAAACAAACCATGTTATAAATACACAAGCCCAGAGCTTTTATTTCTCTCTGCTACCTTCAAAGAGAATAGACTTTAGGTCCTGACCGGAACGGCATCCCAAATACCCTACCTTGGACTTCCTGTACCTCAATAACACCCGGCGAGAAGCACCGGCTCAGCTCCTCAGCCGCATCCCCTTCCACAGGCTCAAGCAGGGTGATGTCTGGCAGGAGCCTATAGCTGGCTGTGGCCACAGGTGAAAACTTGGCATGATCCTTGCCTGGAGGAAGAGGGAAGTCAGAGTCTGTGGGAAAGCCTTCTTCACGTTCCCTAAGCCACAAAGAGCAAACGCCCATTGGCTTTCTGCCTGTCAGGCACACCTCAGCTGATCACCTTTTAGACACTTCACCCCACTGTAACTGAACTGCCCTCCTGCCCAGGACGCCCGACATGGTTCTTACCAATGCCCTTGACACAGTGCATGAGCAGGTCAATCTCCTGGCCAGGCCGCAGCTGAGCAATGAGGATATCATCATGCACTGGTCGGATAGTGCCCTCTGGGAAAAGGTCAGCCTGGTTCCCCAAGGGCACCCATATCATGTGTCTGGTGTACACTGGAGGAGAAGCACATCAGAAGACCTCAGTCCCTGAAACTCGTCTCCACCAACAGGGCCTTCTCCCTCACGCTACCGCTACTCACCTTTGTGGTTCACATAGAGTTCACTGGGGTCAGAGGAATCTTTAGCAGCATGGGGGTTCCGAGTACACCTAACCTGCAGCCGGAACTGCAGAGTATCTATCTCTGTGCCTTCTTCATCTCCTGCAGAAAGGGAGGAGGCGAACATTTGAAGGCCAGACACCATGCTGAGTGCATTATTTACATTTTTCATTTAATCCTCTTGACAAACAGGAAAGCAAGGGCAAGTGTTCTCACAGATAAGAACAACTAACGTACCAAAAGATTAGTAACTTGTTCAAGGTCATGCAGTGGTCAAGCCAGGATGTGAACATAGGCAGTGTGATTCTAGAATCTACTTCAGAAGAAAGCTGCTCCTGTTTTCCCAAAATTTCACTTTCTCAAACACTCACCTTGGTTCCGATATTCAAAAAGACGGGGATCAACGTGAATGGGAATGAGCCCCAAGCGATGAGCAAGGATCTCATCCTGGACAATGGATGTGTTGTTGTACACCAGGACCTTTTCCACAGCCATGGTTGGCACCTGCCCGAGAAAATAACATCACTTATCTTCAGAGACCCTACAGACTCCCCTTCTACTCCCTACCTCCTGACATAGGGAGATGGGGAGAGACCACTTCCTAGAAGAAGGCTTGATGAAAAGTTTACAAAGAATGAGGAGGAATGCTCAGCAAAACTACAGAAAGAATGAAAGAGGCAGCTTGAGACAATTGTACAGGTGAGGTGATGGCATGGTTTCCCCCAAGCAACTCCACTCCCGCCACCATGCCCACTGATACCTCAGCTAATAGAATGCGTCGAAAAGCATTGGCAATGGCCGCGTCGATTCCCACCATGTCAAATTCCAATGAGTTTTCATCCATGTGTACTACATCCACACGGAAATTCTAAAGGGACAGGAAAAAACTAAATGAAGCCTGCCCTCTGCAGAGTCGACGCCTCCCAGCGCATTAACGCCCTCTCTCCAAAACCTTCCCTTGGCCCACACGTCCCTCATTAGGTGTTCTCTTTCTCCTCCGATCCTTTACCAGTCTCTTAAAAAGTCTCCCTGTTTTTATCTTCCATTCACTTAAACCCTCCACAATACAGCTTCCAGCCAGTCCATCCTCAGACACTACCCTCCTAAAGAACAGGCTTCCATCCTGCTTAGTTTAGGTGACACTAGTAATCCCTATCTCACTAAACTCTGCTGCATTTGGCATTTGTTGATAGACTCCCTCTATTTTCAAACTACTGCCTTCATTTCAGAGCACCAGTCTTGGTTCTCTTCCTTCTTTTCTCTGATAAATCCTAAATTCACTATCTTCCACCTACTCCATAATGTTACTATTTCCCAGGTTTTTGTCTCTCCAGGGTGACCTCACCCACACTCGTGGTTTTAGCAACTATTTGTACTGACAACTCTCAAAATTATATCTCACTTCTGATCTCATTTCAAACATATATTCTGCTAGACTTCTCCACACACAGGAAACTGCATCATCGTTCCCCTTTCCCAGACCCATTTCTCATCAGCAAATGACACCATCATCCATAGAAGCAGTTCCCTGAGCTAGGTCATTTGACACTCCCAGCTCACAGCCCATATCAAAGCAATTACCAAACTTACCTTCTATCTCCCCTTGGCTCTATTTCCGAGATGATAATCTTAGTTCATGCCTTCAACCTCAGCTCCCCTATGCAATTCTGTGACAAATCGGCCTGCCCCATATGATGATCCTCAAATTCATTGTCTCCCAACCATTAAGGTTGCAAATCTGATCAGGTCTGCTTAAGAGCTCTTCAAAAGCTCCCTAGAGACCTACAGTGCCTAAGACGCTCGCCAGCCCACTTTGCCCTCTAGCAATAATGAACTGCTTGGACATTCCCGGAGCACAGCTCACGTAAGCCTTTATAACTCAGCTTCTGTTCTTAGCTCTTCCTCGCCCTTCGCTGTTCTCAGCTTCTACTTAGCGTTCAAGGCTCAATTTAGACGTCATCTCCTTCAGGAAGGAAATCTTCCATACCTCTGCGCCCCCTTCCCATTCTAAACTAAGTGCCTCTGCGGGATACCCCACCCCCAGCCTTCCTTAGTGCTATTAACCGCTTTCACCACATTACACTGGAATCATTTGTTTACACGCGCTCTTCTTCAACAAGGCTGAACTTCTTGTTCGCAGAAAACGGCAGAAACCGTGTACAGAGCGCCTAGCATACTGCTCAATAAACGTTTTGTGAACGGCGCGAACCCCCAAGGGCAGCTTCTAAGGCACAGGCTGCTCAGATCACACGGTCCGTTCCTCACATCTCCCACCTTCTCGCACCCCACCCACCTTCTCGAAGTGGTCCTGGTCCCAGGCATCATCATAGCCGGAATAGTTGCCGGGAAAGTCCGTCGTATGAACCTAGGGCAAAGAAAGACGAGTCTGCCGCAAAGGGGCAGGGAGCACAAGCCTGTCCCCACTCCGATCCCAACTCATCCCTGTTCCGCTCTCATTTCTCCTCCTGAGCTCAAGGCCACAAGACTTACATTGCGAACCCCGAACTCCCCTAGAACCACGCGGCTCCGCATTTCTTCCACCGCCTGGGCCGCCGCCATCTTCAACGCCTGCACGTGACTAGAGCATCAAACCGGCGCGTGCGTTCTCGTCGCCCTCCTCCGTCTCCGTGGCAACGCACCACCGCCTGGAATCTTAAATATCGCGAGACTCCGCTCCGCCTCCGTCCACGTCCCCAACTTCCGGAAGTCAGTTTGGGCCAAACATCCGGGTTTCTCTGTTTTGCGTTCCGGTCGGTCCCACCTCTCTTTCTCGCCGCTGGACGTCTGCCTCCCTCAGGCCCACATCTCTCCCACTTCTCCTCCGCGCGCGGGGCCGGCGCGGGCTTCAGCGACGGGAGCTCTTGAGGGACATGGCAACTACGGCGGCGCCGGCCGGGGGCGCCCGAAACGGGGCTGGCCCGGAATGGGGAGGGTTCGAAGAAAACATCCAGGTAATGTCCCCAAGGCTCGGGCTGCTAGCAGCCCCAGGGCCAGCAGCCGTCCTGAAGTGTCGTGGGGACTGTCCCTAGGAGGCTGGAAGTCTGCTCCATTTGCAGCACTTTTTCTCTTGCTTGGGTCTTGCTGCACACGAAAGGCAGTGGGACTAGTGCTGACCTGAAAGGTCCAGACTGGTACTCCAGCCAGAGGGCTTCACATCTCTAGGCCTGCCCGCTCTGCTTTCGGAACAAGTTAGGAGGTCGGTCGGGGTCAGGTATGGCGGGGGTATGGGCGGCACTCACTGGCACTGGCTGAAACCATACTCTCTGCACAGCCTCGTTTGGGGTTTGGGAAAGACCAAGGACATGGGTGCTTTTGCAGCCCTTTGAGGCTTTGATAGGGAAGGTAGGAGAAAGACATGTATGGAAGACAGGGAGTGGGTTTCCCAGGCAAAGAAAAGAGAGCCAAACAACCAAGGGTTCTGAGAGCAAAAGAGGGGAAGAGAGTGGCATGGTCTATGGTGATTCCAAGCCATATCCCCAGCAGTGACAGAACAAAGCCCCAAACCGTGGGATGAACAGAGGAGGACTTAGTGGATGGAGCAGAAAGGTCCTGCACTCCAGGAGCCACTGTCTTCACAGGGTGGGGGCTCAGCTGTGATCGACATGGAGAACATGGATGATACCTCCGGCTCCAGCTTTGAGGACATGGGTGAGCTGCATCAGCGCCTGCGTGAGGAAGAAGTAGATGCTGATGCAGCTGCTGCTGAAGAAGAGGATGGGGAGTTCCTAGGCATGAAGGGCTTTAAGGGACAGCTGAGCAGGCAGGTGGCTGACCAGGTAAGCAAGCTTGGATCCCTGGCAGGTGGAAGAGTATACCTAGGCAGGCCCCCAGGTTCTGGAGTTGGTGTTCAAGTTCATCCCAGGTTGTCCAGTTAGAACCATGTAGAAATCCAACAGAAAATAAGCTGCAGGGCCTAGAGCCAAGAGTCTCACAATTCCCACCCACCCCACCCCCGTCTTCCTTACTTCAGATGTGGCAGGCAGGGAAGAGACAAGCCTCCAGGGCCTTCAGCTTGTACGCCAACATCGACATCCTGAGACCCTACTTTGATGTGGAGCCTGCCCAGGTGCGAAGCAGGTGAGGATCCTTCTGACAGAAGCTGCCATCTCAACACCTAATCCTTGATCCAAACTACCACCAAATACCAAGCCTTAGGCTCCCCGAGCCTTTGTGACCCCCACCCCGCCCTCATCATTGCACCTGTACCCAGCCGCACCAGACCTGTTAGCAGTCATGGAACAGGATATGGTGATAACACACTGCCTTCCTCCTCTTCTCCATCTAGCAATCGACTCATCTTCCCTCAAAACCTAGCTCAAATGTCGCTTTCTTTGTTCTTCATTCCTCAACCCCATCCCCAGTTTTTCCTCTCCTGCTGACCCTATAGAACTCTATGCTTTCCTCTAACAGATGACATTTAAGCCATGCTGTACTTCCTTATTCCTGGGTCTGTCTCCACAGATTCCGCCTCAAAAGCAGGCTCTATTTTGTTTATCCTTTTATTCCCAGCACCAGAAGAGTCTATGAGCCAAAACATCAGTGCATAGTTGTTGAATGACTTCTCAAGAGCTGGATTTAATCTTGGCTTGGTCGTTTGTTCATCCTTTAATGTAACCAACGTTTAGCGAATAGCCAGTACCACTCAGCAAGGCTTTATTAAGCATTCGCTCTGTGTCTGGCACTTTAGTTGTTATGTCTGATTCAGTGGTGAAGATAGATGGGAGCCTTGTCCTCGAGTGCAGTTAGAACACAGCACTCACGTGCTATGGTGGGGCACATGGGAGGGACACCTGGACCCAGAGTAGGCTGGAGGGTGGGAGAAGGCAGGTTTCCCAGAGGAAGTAAAATCTAGCCAAATTCCAATGTATTATTAGGAGCTAGCCACTTAAGAAGAGAGTGGGGGAGTGACTTGTGCTTTTATTCCTCCTGCCTGGACTGCTTATACCACTTCAGATATATTTTCAACAAAATGCTCAGTGGTGCCTAAAGGAGTGGTAAGCAGAAGGGGCAGGAGGCACGCTGGTTCCCTCAAGTAAAGCCTTTCCTTCTAAACCTCTTCCAGGGCTTCAGCATCACAGCCCTGAATTCTGGGCATTCTCTGCTGGGGTTTGCCTGTCTTTTAAAGGGGAGCAGGTCAAATAGGTAAATTGTCAAGCCTTCTCTCCAGGCCCAGCTGGGCTGAGGCAAGGAAGTGATTCCCTCATTCCTTGTCCATCTTGACTGTCCTCTTCTCCCTTTACCACCCAGCGTGTTCTCTGGTGTGAGAGAGATGAGTAAGATTCAGGCCCTCCAGAACCTCATAGCCTAGTGCTGCCTCTGCTCTCATATCTCCTCTCCTCTCCCAGGCTCCTGGAGTCCATGATCCCTATCAAGATGGTCAACTTCCCCCAGGTGAATAGGGGGTAGCATGTCTGGAAGAGCCTCGGGAGGCACTAGGGCAGAGGGTGGGGCCACCAGGCAAAGCCTGGGAAGGCATAAGCAGAAGGGCCATTGTCCCCTCCAGCCTGAATGAGTTGGTATATTGACAGAAAATCGCAGGTGAGCTCTATGGACCTCTCATGTTGGTCTTCACGCTGGTTGCCATCCTCCTCCATGGAATGAAGACATCTGACACCATCATCGTAAGCAGGGCAGAGGACTGTGGGGGGTGGCTGACCTGAGTTGAAAGCTGCCCAAGGAGACACTGGTGGAGTGAGGTAGAAGCAGGCCCTGAGGAAGGCCCTGGGTGAGGCTGCGACCAGAGGCCTCCGAGGACTAAGTAGAGCCTTCCTCCCACAGCGGGAGGGCACCCTGATGGGCACAGCCATTGGCACCTGCTTCGGCTACTGGCTGGGCGTCTCGTCCTTCATTTACTTCCTCGCCTACCTGTGCAATGCCCAGATCACCATGCTCCAGATGCTGGCCCTGCTGGTAAGGAGTCCCACATGGTGCTGGGCAAGGGTGATGTTAAAAGAGTAGCCAGGCCGTGGTCTGCATCTGTCCTGGGGCCCCAGGGCCTGGAGTGGGGTGAGCTGGCCAGTGGACCATTTCTTTCTCAGGGTCCCCAAGAGGGTCCTGAGGCCAGCCCAGCCCACGTGATTGTCCTCCCCACCATCCTCCTTCCTAGGGCTATGGCCTCTTTGGACACTGCATTGTCCTGTTCATCACCTATAACATCCACCTCCATGCCCTCTTCTACCTCTTCTGGCTGCTGCTGGGTGGGCTGTCAACTCTGCGAATGGTAAGCTGGGCAAGAGGTTTCCAGAGGTGGGCTGTCCTCCCAGGGAGTTGGGTTAAACAGCCCAGAGCTCCGGCCGAACCCCACCGAGGGCTCTGGATGGGAGGGAAGAGCCCAAAGATGGTTCTGCTCTGGGTAGGAGTGTCTTCTCCACACTGCTCACTTTGGAACCAGGTCCTCTGAACTGTATTCTTGTGGCCCTAGGTGGCAGTGTTGGTGTCAAGGACTGTGGGCCCCACACAGCGGCTGCTCCTCTGTGGCACCCTGGCCGCCCTGCACATGCTCTTCCTGCTCTATCTGCATTTTGCCTATCATAAGGTGGTAGAGGGTAAGTGACAGGAGGGCCTGGGCGCGAGGGAGGGGGAGAGAGCCACCCAGGGCAGGGCCCAGCCGACTCGTGCTCACCTTCCATCCTCCATCTTTCAGGGATCCTGGACACCCTGGAGGGCCCCAACATTCCACCCATGCAGAGGGTCCCCAGAGACATCCCTGCTGCGCTCCCTGCTGCTAGGCTTCCCGCCACCGTGCTCAATGCCACAGCCAAGGCTGTCGCGGTGACCCTGCAGTCACACTGACCCCACCTGAGATCCTTGGCCAGCCCCCTTTCCCCCAGCTGTGGAGCAGAGGAAGATTAAAGGACAGTACTGATGACATGTGTCTCTTTGATGGGGTCTGCAGCTGCCACAGAGCTGTAGCTGCTTAAGCACCTCCTTGACACCCGTCAGGGCTCCCGAAGGGCACAAGGCCAGGAACTCACGGCCAGGACTGCAGGCTCTGAAGCCAGTGCAGAAAGTGGGCCAGCTCCTCTGAGCCCTCTCCACCTACCCCTTCCCTCCTCTTTGTCTCTCCCACAATGTCTTGCTAAAGATAGACTTGGTAATTAAAATACTGATTGAAGTCCGGAACTGCAGCTGCCCTTCCAGTGGTCCTCCTGCCTTCCTACTTCCTGTGCACTTTCCTGTTCTTGTCAGTGGTGGGCATGTCACATGTTCCATTCTTTATACCCTCATCCAGGCAGGATGAAGGAGGGACAGCCCAGACTACATTGAAAGTAGTGACTAAATATGTAACTTGCCCAAGGGCAGGGGACACCTGGCCCGTGGAGCACAGGGAGGACTCAAACACAAGAACCATGAGCCTCATGGACCAGCACACCCAGCTTGAGTGTGGGCTCAGCCTCATTCTTGGGATGCCAGTGGAGTAATGACAAGTGGACAAGAACTTCCAGACTCAACCTCATGTCATTAAAAGCCCTCAGGCACCTGAGCCATTGTGTAGGGATAACTTTCCTGTGGGAACTCACATGGGAAGCCACACTCGGCTTTGCCTTGGTTATACTGGGGCCAGAGGGACAAAGCCTCTTCCAGAATTTTCTCTGTCCTTCCTCTTCAAGAGTGTGTTCACTCCTAAAAACCACCACCACCCCAAGCAGAGCACCGTCCACCCCCACCACTCACTTCATCTGCTCCACTTGGGCAGTTAATTCAGGTGGTTAACAGAGGGACTAGAATGTTTGACCTCCCTTCACTATGCTTACATTATTCAGTAAAAAAATCATTACCCTAGTAAATCTGGGGCAGCACCTTGCCCTCCTGATAAGGGGACTGAAAGACGTGCTCTGCATTCGCGCGGTGCGACTGTTCCGGGAGGCCCGCACCATCAGCAGCAGACAACGTTCTGACGGCACTGCCCGCGCTGTGCGGTGTGCACGTCCCGAGCGCTCCAGCCCGCTTCCCCCGGTCCTGCCACCGCTCGGGGTCGCCGAGCCGGACACCCCCTTTATTTTGGCTACCCCGGTCTCACGGACACCGAGAACCTCAGGGCATCCGTGCCCTGCGCACGTGGGGAAGGGGCGGCACCGACCCTGCGCCCGTCGGCGCCCGCCGGCCCAGGGACCTGTCGCGCCCCCCCCCCCAGGCCGTGTCGCCGGGCCGCGCCGCGAGGCCGCCATCTTGCGAGGGCCGCGCGGCCAGTCCTGGCCGGCTGGGACCCCCGCGCGCCCCGTCTCTGGTCGCGGGGGCGGGGACGCGGGGGTGGGGCGGGGAGCGCCGGAAAGGGCCCTGGGGACTTTCAAACGGGACGCGAGGGCGTGCCCGGGGCTCAGGCGAAGGCACCGAGGATCTGGACGTCGGAATGGGGAACGACGGGAGAATGGGCAAAAAAGTCCGGTGGGTCACAGTCTCCAACGCCATCCGCATGCGCCGCGCCTCCACTCTTGCGTCCCCACCCCGCTGCCCGTTCCGGGCCTCAACACCGCTCCCTACACGCTACCTGCTGTAGGCCCACACCCGGGGGAGGAGCGTGCACACCGCTCCGGAACCACCCGGTGTGCGCAAACCTCGTGGACGCGCGTGGCCGAGGCCGGGCAGGGGGCGGGGCGAGCGGCGGTGACGCGGCGGTTGCCATGGGAACCCGCCGCCCGCTCCGGTGCAGGAGCCGAAACCGAAGCTGCCGCCCGCCGCCCGCCGCCCGCTGCCCGCCTGCCGGGTGCCCGCCTGCCCGCTCCGGGCTCTCCCCGCGGGGCGGTAGGGGGAGCCGGGCTGGAGGAGGGGAGGGGGATGCGGCCTCCGAGCGGAGACTGGCCCCGCGCGTCCTAAGCCGAGGCCCCTGAGCCGCCGCCGCCGCCACCGGGAGGGCCCAGGACAAGCGCGGGCAGCGCCCGTCCGGCTCCGGATCGCGCATCCCGGCCCGCCGCCCAGACACGGACCGCACGGTCCGCCCCGGCCGCAGCGCCGCGAGGTCTCAGCCCTGCCGGCGACCTCCGCGCCTCCGCAACCCCGGCCGGCTCCGGCCCGGGACCCCGCGCTCCTCGCCGCTGCAGCCGCCGCCCCTACCGCCGCCGCCTGCGCCTCTGCCGCCGCCGCTGCCCCCGCTTCGTCCGCGCCCCCAGCCCGGGCCCCGACCTCAGCCCCGACCCCGCCCGCGGCCCCGCCAACCTCGGCCGCGGCCCAGGCCCCACCCCCGGCCCCGGAGTTCCAGCCGTGGGAACGATGCTGCCCAGCTCCATCCAGATTTCGGGGGAGCCGCTGTCAGGCGCCGAGGTGCGGGACATCTGCCGCGGCCTGCGCGACAACGCCGTGCGCCTGCTCTCGCTGCGCGGCTGCCGCCTTTGCGACCGCGACTTCGGCCGCATCTGCCGGGCCCTGGCCGGGGCCACGTCGCTGGCACAGCTCAACCTTAACCTGGGCGTCGTGTCCAGCCCCAGCCGCATCAAGCAGCTGGCGGAGGCGCTGCGGACCAACCGCTCCATCCAGTCCCTCTTGTGAGTGTGCTCCCTCGCAAGGGGGTCCCGGGCTCTGCACCCCTCCCATTCCTCCACACACCTTCCTGTACCTGTCTTTCCACCAACCTACCTTCTCACCCCGTATACACACACCTCATCCCTCTGCCTGGGCCTCCACAACACCCTCCAAACACATGCCTTATCTGCGGACTGTGCACACGCAGCCCCACCCCAATGGAGGGTTTACCCACCTGCTCCTAGCAGGGCACGTGCACCTCTCCACCTAATCGCCCTCCTGACTTCTCGGGAGCAGCTCCTCAGTTCCGAAAAGGGAACTCTCCCCTGAGGACTAGACCACGACCCCTACATTCTGCCCACTGAAGAAGCTCCGTCGCCACCTACACACCCCTTCTCTGTGCTCTGTCCTGGATCCCAGTCCCTGCCCCAGAAAAGAAACAGAATTCCTCTCCTACCTGTATTCCTTTAGAATCTAGAATTTTCTTTCTCCCTCCCCAAGGCATCCCAAGTGGTGTGACTGAGTGCCCTCTTTACCTCTGGGGCTCACATAAGGGAAGTGCCCCTTCTGCCTACAGATAGGACTGACCACCGCAGTAACCTCTGCTCTCTGTCTCACCCCCAGCCTGCATGGGAGCCCCCTGACAGATGCCGGGCTGGCCTTGCTGAACCCCGCCCTGGCCCTCCACCCTGCCCTCGTGGCTCTGGACTTGGGGGACTGCATGCTGGGTGATGAAGCCATCAACCTCATCTGTGGCCTCCTCCCCCCAGATGGGGCCAAATCTGGTGAGCAAGGCCCTGCTGAGGGCATGAACTGGTATGGCCTTGATGAAAAGCTAAGTGCACAGGGTAAGGGGTGCGGCCCGGAGCTGAGGGCTTTGCCCAAATGGGAGAAAATCCTCTCAGGAAGGAGAAGGATTGGGGGGCTGAGCAGGATGGAGACAGGAATCCAGGCTGGGGGAATTGGGGGGGGGGGGGGACGGCGTGGGGGGTTGCAGTGCAGGGAAGGCTTGGGTCTCTAATGGCCCTGGAACTCTGTGGTAGGGGTGGGGTGGCTCCCAGCCACTAGGGACACCCCAGAGACCCGGGATGGGGGAGGGGCTTGAGGAGGGCCTGACCTCCATCCTGGCTTCTTGCTATGATGCTGCCCAGGCTTGAAGGAGTTAACGCTGAGTGCCAACCCTGGCATCACCCCTAAGGGCTGGAGCCGCCTCGCCATTGCCGTGGCCCACAGCTCCCAGGTCCGCGTCCTCAATCTGGACTACAACCCCCTGGGTGAGGCTCAAGAAAGCCCCTTTCAATTCTCACCACCCCACCCCCATCCAAGAACCTGGGGCCATCAGTTGCCATGGTAACCCCCACACTGGGGAAGGAAAGAAGGGAAGGGGGTCTGGGAGGTAGTAGAGGAGCCACCTGTGTGGAGAACCAGATGACCAACAAGTAGATCAAAGCATCCCTCACCATCCCTGGGCCTGGCTTGCTTCATCCATTCACTCACCAATCACAACGCTCCCCTCCTGGCCATCTACCAATTGTCAATATTTCCTGGCCTGGGGGTAGGATCTAAGGTTGTTAGGGCAATGGGGAGACCGTGTGGAGAAAGGGTTAGCATGCTTGTGCACAAATGCAGTTGAGTGTGTGCTCTCTCCAGGTGACCATGTGGCAGGGATGCTGGCTGTAGCTGTGGCCTCCAGCCGCACCTTAGAGGTCCTAGACTTGGAGGGCACAGGGCTCACCAACCAGTCAGCTCAGGTGAGAAGTCCTCATGTTTGGGGATGGGCCGGGGGTTGGGGTGGAGGTTAGCTGGTGCATCTGTGGACATTCGGAAGGGGTGGCAGGTTGGAGCCCGAGGCGCTGCCTTAACTGTGTTCATCCTTTTTCATTCTCTGCCCCACCTCAGACCCTGCTGGACATGGTAGAAAATTACCCCACGGCTTTGCGGAGCCTGGTGCTGGCTGAGAACAGCATCAGCCCAGAGCTGCAGCAGCAGATCTGTGACCTCCTCTCTGAGGGGGAGGAGGAGGAGGAGACGGCAGGAGGGGCTGGCAACACCCAGGAACGAGAGAGAGGGCAGGAGTCTGCTGTCCACCAGAGGGGCAGCAGCTCCTGGATGTGCCCCAGTGGTAAGAGCCCTGAGGGTTGATCAGAGCCAGGTCTGGAAGAGGCTTGGGACCAATGAGAGTGGGTGTGGGAAACCTAGGCCACCTCTCACCTATTTGTGGTCCCCAGTGGAGGAAGAAATTGTGGTCTGAACACCCCTTTGCCCTTCCACAGATCCCAGCTCTCAGATGGTGCTAATGACGTCAGGACTAGGGGACAGTCTGTTGGCTGAGACCGAGATGTGACTCTCCACTTGGGCTTCTGTGCATCACTACATTTGTCTGTGTCCCCAGCACCTTGACCCAGGTGTCAGGGTCAGGCCCTGGGGCTCTGGCAGCTCCTGGCAGTGTGGTGGGAGGCTCTGGAAACTGTGACAGAGCAACAGCCTTGGAGGCAGTTGAACCCAAGGCAATACCTCTGCACTTGTTGGCAGCTCTGGCTGCAGCCCGCTGGCTCGGAAGAGATTTTATGAACTCTACAACCTGGCGTGTGGCTGTGGTCACTGGGGCTCAGCAGTAGGGGAGGAACTGGAATTACCACTAGGCACCACTAGGGGGCAGTGCCACCTCACAGCCCAAGCTCCAGGCAGTGTCCTCTGGCCCCAAGTGTCCCAGACAGGTCTTGACCTGGGGTTCTGGGATGACACCTCACACAGGCCCCACGATAAGCATCATAACTAAGGTAAACACCCCACCTCAAGAGCTGGGCTGGACTGCACTCTACCTCGAGGAGAGACTTGGTCCCGGCCAAAGTTACTTGAGGTGTACCCTCTCCCACTGCCGGATGCTCCATGCCCAGGGAAGACCCTGGCAGAGTGTGGCAAGGGAGAATCACTAGCAAAGACTAGGACATCACAAGCACTGAGAATACTCAAGAATGGGGAGAAAACTGGCAGAAGGAAGGTCATTAATAGACAAATTAAGCCATACCAGTAAAATAGTTTTAATTAATTTTAAAATAGTCATCGATGTGAAAATTTCCCAAAGCTGGGAGTAACAGTCTAGAGCCAAGGTGGGGAGGGGGCCAGGCCTCACATAGAGCTCAGCTTGAAGCCCCTGAATCCCACCCTCTACTCCCTTCCAGAGGGAGGAAGGAAACAGAGCCCTGAGTCAGCCCTCTCCCTCATCCAGGCCTCTTGGAGGCAACACCCCTGCAGGGGGTTTGGGGGGAGAGAGAAACAGGTGGAAAATAGAAATTAGAGGTTAATAATCCCAACAACACCCCCCACCCCCCAAAAAAATAACCAAACAAAACTCATGGATATGAAAGGGGGATGGAGGATGAACACTGATGGAATAAACCCCTCAGCTCCCCAGAACAGCCCAACCTGGGCTGGGCTGATTGGAAGAAAGGTCTTGAGCCCCAGCTGCATGTTACCTTTGGAGAATAAATATTCCAAGAAGAAGGGGAAAAACCATGAGGCAAGCCGGTGCCATTCACAGTCAACGCAGCTGAAAGGCCTGGTGTGGCCACCACCTGACCCTACCCACACAGGGAGCAGAGCTGTGCAGGCCTGGAGGGAGGGAAGTCCAAGGGCTCGGCTGGGCGGGGACCCTGAGCTGCAAGGGTATGAGCCTCCTTGCAGTCCCAGTGCAGCAGTGGCAGGAAGGCAAGCAAGGGCCCTAGTTGAGCAGGTTGCCCTGCTCCTGGGCCTGGGTCAGGCTGTCCTTACGGTGCAGGTGGTGCACCCCCATCCTCTTGGGGCTGCGCTGGGGGCGGCTGGAGCTAGGGAGTGCCCAGGTCCTAACCTCAGTGTGGGAAGTGCCTGGCCCCTCCTCTGTGCCACTACCACTGGGCAGCAGGCTCTGGCGCTCTTCCTCGGGGCTGACTGGCAGGTTCAGCTGTTCTTCCTCTTCCTCTCTGGGAAGGCCAGAGTCAGGTTCTGGAGGCAGCAAAAGCCTACTCTCACTGGGTGGGGGAGAAGGTGCCTGAACCTCCTCATCTCTGTCAGCAGGGCTAAGAGCAAAATGGCGCTGCAGCTCAGGGAGTGCATCACGTCCAAAGGCAGTGCGTTGGGCCACAGCGGCCGGGGGTGGAGCACGGTCCACAAATGCCCGCTGCCAGCTGGCCAGCAGGTCCTCCTCAGAGCTGGCAGAGCTGGCTGGGGCACTGTGGGTTGAGGGGGTGGGTCTGGGCTGGTGGTGGGGTGAGGCCCGGGCTGAGGCAGGGCTGCTGGGCACTGGGCTGGGGCGGGCCCGCTCACTCCCCTCCTCCACCAGGCTCAAGGAAATGGCCTGGCGCGTAGCGTAAGTGCAGTTGGGCAGGGGGCTGTTGCGGGGAATTCGCACCTTATCCTCAGAGAACTCTATTACCTTGCGGCCAGGATACAGCGGGTGTGGTGGACATGGGGTGGGGTAGGGGCTCAGCTTCTCAAAGGCTGGCAGAGGCAGCTCCTCTTCTGGGGAGCCCCCAGCAGTGCCCAGAGAGTGGCACTCCCCATTGGGTTGGGGGGTGGGGCTGCCAGGGGCTGGGGGACTGGCTGGGTCACCCGGGGCACCCCCACTCATGTCCACATGCACAAAGACATCCTCAGCCAAGGGGTGCCCAGCACTGCCTGACTGGGCTGAATTGAGCAATAGCGACTCTGGCTTCTCCAACACCCGGGCAATGATCGAGGTGGGTACCACAGCCCCTGGTGCCAGGCTGGGGGCAGGTTCCAGGCTGGCAGCCTCTTGACCACTGTGCAGATGTTTCCGAACCATGTCCTGTAGCTCACAGGGCAGCTGGGGTAAAGGAGCAGGAGAAGGGAAGAGAGACATGAATGATCCCAGCCTAAAATAGCTTGACTCAGGACAATAATACCGGCTACCACATACAAGAACCACTGTGTGCTCAGCCCTTTGCTCTCTCCCGCTCTCGCAGAGATAAACTGACGCTCAGTAGAGGTAAAATAACTTGAAGCTTTTGATGAACACAGCCAGGATCTGAACCCAGAACTAGTGCTAAGGCCCACATGCTCTCAAACTTCTGTCTCCCCATCTCAGCAGTGGCTTCTGCCCAAACCAGACAGAAGTTTAAGAATGTGTAGTGACCAGCAGCCTTAAGAATACGTTCCCTCCTTCCGAAGGCCCCGTCAACCTGGAGCCTGAGGCTCTGGGTCCAGAGTTTGCCCCTTGGGGTTAGGGAGTCATTTGGGCCTAATCCTCTCTCAATACTCTTTTGGCTGATAGCCCTGGCCACCCCCTCCTTCCTGCATAAGGTCCTGGAGTTGAGTCCCTCTCTCCCTGTCCCTGTTCCAGAACTACCAACAGGGCCAGCCCCCAGCCCCAGTGATGGGCCCCTGACAGCACACAGGATACCAACGAGTGGCAGGTGACTGGCCTGAGAGGAGACATGGAGGCCAGGCCACAGGGAGGGAGAGGCGCAGAAACTAGAGTGAGAGGAGTGTATAAAGGCTGGCGTGATGACAGGGAGGGTGTTCTACTCACATCGGCGAATTTGTGGTTACGGAAGTGAGACTTGTTGCACTTGAGGAGCTGCACAGCCAGGTTGCAATCCAGCCGGTACCGCTCCTGCAGATACAGATGTGGGTCAGAGCCCGGCGCTACCCAGGGGAGCAGGGCTGGGCCAGGACAAAGCCAGCCACAGGCAAGGAAGGCTCCTGACGGACACATACATTGAGCTCCTCCAGCTTGTTGATGGTGTTCTTGGCATCCAGCAGCTTGTTGGTCAGCTCCACGATCTCCCAATCCAGTGTCTTCCTATCCATCTCAGCCTTCTTGATCTGAGACACAAGACTTGTGGTGAACCCAGCCCACACCAGCCAGCCCTTCCTCCCCTTCCACCTCTTCCTCCAGCCCAGAGACACAGGAAGCCACAGGTGCTAGGGCAGCCAAGGCGGACGGAGTAGAGACAGACGATGGACAGACAGAAGGAGACCAGACACCTCTCCTGTTCTCTGGGCTGGCTGTGGAATGGGGGCTTTCTAAGCATAAATTGCTGCCACCAGGACCCAGGACAGAGGCAGTATAAGAGCTGCCCATCCCTTGAGGGAACTGGAGGGGCTCTACGCCCTAGGCAAGGCAGCTGGGACCTGAGAGGCAACAATTGTGCAAACCCAGGGGCTGAAGCCTATGTGTGTAGCTGTTTCCAGGATCAGGCTAGGGGAGGGAGGAGGGAGTGGGGCTGGGTGGCAGCTGGGGGCGCCTGTGAGATTATCTAGTTGAGCAGGGAGAGAGCTGGAAGCTCAAAAGCAGCCTTCTGACCTTCAGCTCATGGACTGGACCTACAGCCTCCCTCCCCGAAATGGCTTGGTCTGCTGCCACTGCAGCTGAGAAGCTGTGAGTGTTCACTGGTGACATCAATCAGTACTTCTGCTGGAGCCAAGAGCAGGCTCCCCAGCTGTCCTCCAGGAGGGAGGCCATGACTACTGAATGGGCCTCACATAGGAAGAGGCAAGGAGTGGGCAGAGGAAAGAGCCAGGGCCCAGCAATCCCAGATCTCAGCTGAGGAGGAGGCCAGGGCAAGGGAGGAAACACACAAACTCAGACGCAACTGCAAAAATCCAGCTGTGGCTAAGAGAGGCCTGAGAGGAGAGCGCGGCAGCAACGGCGGCAGCATGAGGGGAAGATGAGGAGAGAAGAGAAACAGTGTGAGCATTAGGACAGTCCTGACTTGCACAGCACACTGCGGTCCCCTCCCCACCACTGCACGCCCCCCACCTTGCCCCCCTCCCCAAGACGCAGGGCGGAATGGCATTCCCTGGCAAGTCCTAGCCCCCAGCTATGCTGTGAGCATAGTGCCAGCCAAACTGCCCTCCTGGACAGGTTACCAGCGTGTGCAGCTTGTCCTCCAGCTCCTGGTTGGTCCTCTGGGAAGCCGTGTAGCTGTTCTGCAGCCTGTAGAGGAATAAAAGGCAGAGCCCTGGGTCAAGATCCTGTTCTTTAGACCCTGCTCAGCCCCTCCTTGATATGGGATGGGGCAAGTCATTCTCCTCCCATAACTTCAGTTTTCTCAAGAGAATCAGATGATCTCTGAGGCCTCTTCCAGTCAACCTCATATGAAGGGGAGATGTGTGCATGTGTGTCTGGGCACCTTGTGCCCACACCTGCGGAACTTGTCCTTAAACTTGTCCAGTTCCTCGCGGCTCTGGCCCAGCTCCAGCTCCAGGCAGTCCTGCCCGATTTCCAGCTCACGCTCCAGGGCCTCAGTGCGCCTGGTGGCTGAGGCCAGGCGCCGGCGAAGCTCCTCATTCTCCTGCTGCAACAGCCTAGCAGGGTAAGGGGTTAAGGGAAGAGGGGCATCAGAGATAGGGGCCAGCCCTGGAGCCCCAGGCTGGTCTCAGGAAGGAAGGAGTAGGGATGACCTGAGGACAAGCCTTGAGACTCAGTCTGAGTCTTGGGGAAGCATATTCCACAGGCCTGCTGGTCCCGAGAACATGACCTGGCTTGGAGGATGGGGGGAGACAGAGGGCAATCTAACACCCACTCACTGGAGAAGAATGAGAAGACAGAATTGGGGGGCGGGGAACAGTTCCAAGTC